CCGCCGGGCTGGCCCCGACCTGGCGGCCGGGGAGCGGCCGCTCCTCGCGCCCCCGGCTGGAGCGGGGAGCTCTTGGGAGGGTCGTTTGGACGCAGGGAAGCCCTGGCTGCAGCCGCTGCCTCGGGCTCTGCCTGGATCCAGCTACGCGGAGACAGAGGCCCTTGGGGGCAGGCTCCATCCGGAGCTCTGCGTCCAGATGCAGGGAGAGGGAGCCTCCTCTGTCTGCCAGCTGGAGCTGGTGAGAGGGACCTTCTGTGGGGGGCTCCATCTTGCCCTGGGCTCCATCCAGAGCCATGGATCCAGATGTGGAGATGAGGCTGCCCGGCCCTCCATCTGAAGCTGTGGATCCGGACATAGGAGAATAATGCCCCTGCTCTGGGCTCTGTTCAGAGATCCAGATCCAGCTCTGGGCTTTGTCCAGATGGGAGGGATGGAGCCACTGTCCCAAGCTCCATCTGGGGCTGCAGGTCCAGATGTGGAAGGAGGGACTGCCTACTCTGGCTCCATCCAGAGCTACAGCTCCAGAGATGGAGGGTTAGAATCCATCTTAAGCTGTGGATTCAGATTTGATGTGAGGGACCTACATAGGACTCCACCTGCAACCACAGATGTGTACTGGGCTCCATCTGGAGCTGCAGATCCAGATGCTGAGGGAGGGACCCCCTGCCCTGGACTCCAGACCACTTTTTCTCCTGATTCCTACCCCATCTCCTCCCTGCATGCTGCCTCAACCATTCTCAACCTGCTCATGCTGCAGATCTACTATTTTTTCCTCAACTGCTTTATAAGACTCTGGAAATAGCCTAGGTGGGGAAACCCCTCATCGCCCGGAATTCCCAGGTGCTGGTGTCAGCCTTAATCACAGCAAATAACCATTCCGGCATCCAGAGCCTTGCCCATCTGCTCTCCACATCACTAATGTCAAAAAGTTCCCAACCCTGGCGCCCTGTGGACCAAGTACTATGGCCCAACAGCCAACCTTTCCTGGTCTCAGCAGAGGACCTGCAGCACTACTGTCTCTTAAACACCACCAACCCTAAAACACTGTTCATGTCCTCCTCAGACTAGGCAATGTGGAGATACAGACATTGCTGCAAATACCTGGTGCAGGACAGGCCTGAGCCTACTAACAGCTCCACTGATTTGGGTGCTACAGAGGGGAAAACAGCAAACTGGAGGCCTCACTGGTATGAGGAGAGAGAAATTAAGGATAGCCAAGCAGTTTTATGGACTGTTCCACAAACGGTAGCAGTCCGTCCTGATGATGAAGGCTCCATCAAGAAAAAAGTCCGTGGAGTACCAAGCATTGCGCAAAACCACGCACACACGCACAAAACAAAAACAGAAAACAAAACCCAAAAAAACAAAAGCCCTGCCTGGGAGATCAGAGCTGGCCATACATGTGGGAGGAACAGCCTGTGGCTGCCACCTCTCTGGGCATCTGTCTGAGCAAACTCCAGCCCTTGCTTTGGGGTTCATGTTGATCCCAAGACCCTGTGTAGCGCCCACCATAGGGACTTTGCATGGAAGAAACCACAGAGAGGAGAGGAATGGTTGCAGATGTGCCATAGGGAAGCATGCTGAGAGTATGTTGGCTTCATTACCTGGACCAGTTGGCCAAGGGCAGCTCAGGTTATGCAGGCACATGCCATAGTTGGCACTTGTGGCAGCATAGAGCAGTTGTGTGCTCTGGCTCTACTCAAATACACAAACGTGTCGCCAAGTTGCATGTGAGTGGTCCTCTGATTTAGGAATCCAAGTAGAGCTACAACCTGGTGGGCTGCAGCAAAGCACTCTCAGAGCCACCCTTTCCAGTCTCCCGGTCATCCAGCTGTGGGAGTTGCCATACCCAGGTGTGTGAGCCACTGCTGATACAGCAGCCTAATGTACGGAGATCCTGTAGCCAGATGCATGCCTTGGGGCTGCAGCCAGGTCAGGGCAGAGCCAGGTCTGCCCAGGGACACACTGGGAAGGGGTAGCTCACCACGCAGCAGGCCACATCACGTGGAGGAAGGCTTCACGTCCCAAACCACAAGCTGATACAGACTAGTATGGCCTCGAGGTCTGCCTGGGCTGATGCAGCACTGTGGGCACTAGGGATTCGTTTGCTGGTCAGCGTCACTCAGCAGCTGGGGGAGAAGAGCTGGATGAGATTGCATTGAGCTGGATGAAATTGCATTTTGCAATTACAGCTTAGCTCAGCAGTGATAATTAAAGCACCAAGAACATGGGCCAGGCTTCCTGAGAATTTCCAGCCTCAAGTTGCAGCTGTTCCTCTATGCAATTACAGACAGCCCCAGTCCAAGCATTGCAGGGCAACTGCTTCCACAGGCACTGTCAATATCTGGTTCAAAGCTGAGGATGACTGTGCTGATTGAGAAGCCCAAACCCTTCAGGACAGGAACAAAAGAGGTGGAAGGAGATGGGGAAAGGGAAATTTTCATCCTTCTCCTTTGCTCTGTGGCTTTGCAGGAGTCCCTGTCTCACCTCTTCCTCATGCTCAGCACTAGGACTCCACAAAAGAGGTTGCTGCATTTCCCCAGGAGCTAGAACAAACAAGACCTGTTTCTGCCAACTCTTGGGGACTGTGAGAGAATGAGATAAGATTTAACTGTCCCAATCACAAAGTGGATCTGGGATAGTGCTCAGACTCCACCCCAGCCTCCTTCCAGCTTCCCAGTAGCACCAATACAGTCTGTGTCCATTTGGACTGCACCAGCCCATTCCACCACCAGCTCTGTGGTCACAGAAGTTCAGGGTTAGTCTCCACTCTGTGGTGCAGCCATGAGAGCTCTTACGCAGGAGGAGCCATGGCAAAGGGGGCTGCTAGGCACAAGTATCCCCACTGCTGCCCCCTCCAGCTAAGCCACACACCCTGCCTTCATCCCCCCCATTTAACGCATATACATGTGGGTATTCCCATTCCAGCTCAAAGCCCAGTCACAGGGGAGCTCAGAGGAGCTGAGGTGTTTGCAGCTTATCAACCAGCAGCAGGAGGGTTCGGACCTGGAGGAGCTGATCAGCAACCAGTCCTGTCTCAAGCTGGCCAAAACCATCAAAGCCTACGTGACCACGGTGAGCCTAGACCTGCTGGCTGAGGGGAAAAGGGAGAATGGGGCACTCAAAGGGAGAGCTCCCACCTGCTTCATTTGCCTCATCCACCTCACCAGAGGGTGACAGAGGGCAGTTGCAATGCAAACTGCAATGCAAAGAGAGCAGAGAGGCCTGATTTAAGAGGGGCTGCATGCCAGGTCATCTGTGGATCTGCACATCCAAAGGGTCAGTGGAGACCAGAGACAACGTGAAGGTCAAGGGAATGATGAGAAGGGTAGGGGAGCAAGGAATGTTCTTTACATCTTTAAACAATGGGACTGTTTTTCTTCTCTAACGGTTTGGTTTAGGTGACAGAGAAGATCGTCCACAGGAGCACAGTGAAGGGTGAGTACTTTCCAGCCGGCATCTGAAGGTAGGAACTGGGACTCCAGTCCAATTGGAGCTGAAAAGCACTGAGGACTTGTTTGCCTGGGTCCAGGTCACTGTGACAAAGCCCTTCTCTCACGGTGAGATGGTTGGAGCCACAGTTCATGTGTGTAGAGCTCTGTATGCAACTAGGGATGCCAGTGGGCTGCAAGGGGGATGACCCGGGCAGTCCTGGGGCAAGCTCCATCAGGCGCAGTGGCCACCAGCTGGGGCAGGAGGGGAGCAAGGCCTGTCGTGCTGGGCAGGTGAAGGGCATGCATCCCCAGGCATAGCTTGGAGGGACAGCCGTGTATGTCTGGTTGGTGTCTAGGGAATCAGAGCATGTCCAGCAGGGCTCGGTGCTGAAGTGTTAGATAATCATTGATCAGACCAGACCAAGGAACCTCCCTCTTTGGAGGGTCAGTGGGCACTTCCTGCTTGCTTGATAAAGATGTGCTCTGCTGGCACAGAGCTGGGGGTCCCCAAGTGTGCTGACCATGACAGCCATTTCTCCCTTTTCTCACAGAAGCACAGAGGAGCTACTTCAACACCTCGGAGGGACAGGTTCTTCCCAAAACACCCAGCAAGCCCTCTGCACATCTAACCCTCCGTCCTCAGAGCCTGGCCCAGGATGGTGAGTCTGGGTGAGCCCCAGCTGAGCACCAGAGGGTTTCTGAAATGGGAACAGGGAAAAGACCCCTGCTCAGGGGTGGGTGACCAGCATGGGAGAAAGGATTTGGTGACAGTTAGGAACATGTTCCTCCTTTCCACTCTGAGAACACCTCTTCCACACCTCCAAGTTGGGAACCTGAGTCACTGTGGGAAGCAGCTAGAGCCACATCCTCCCTCACCCCCACCCTGATGCCTACTCTCCGGAGGAGCTGCCTCCCTTCCATGATCCTTCTGCCTCTCCCCAGGAAGCTCCAAGCGCTTTGGTAACCTTTCCCAGTCCTGCCGCCATGCCATCGCACGCTGGGAAGACAGCACAATCCACTCGCACCTGCAGAACATCACCTACCGGGATGGCCGGCTGCGGGTCAACCAGGCAGGCAAATACTACGTCTACTCACAGATCTACTTCCGCTACCCCAGCGATGGGGCCAGTGCCCGTGTCTCTGTCCCTCAGCTTGTGCAGTGCATCAACTGGAAGACTTCCTACAGTCAACCCATCCTCCTGCTCAAAGGAGTTGGCACCAAGTGCTGGGCCCCTGAGGCAAACTATGGCCTCCATGCTCTCTACCAGGGTGGACTGTTTGAGCTCAAAGTTGGCGATGAGCTCTTTGTATCAGTCTCCTCCCTGGCCATTGACTACAATGATGCAGCAGCCAGCTATTTTGGAGCTTTCCGGCTCGACCTGTGACATCTTCCTCATGCTCATGTCCATTCTCTGGCCAAACCTGTTTCTTCCGTAGTGACTCTCCTCTGTGGCCCACGAACAGTCCTCACAGTCCCGTTGCCTTCACCTGTGCAGAATGGCAGCCAAATATCTGGCGTCCAAGCCAGGGGGATGCAGTGCAGTTTAAAGCCCATATTGTCCCTTGGGGCAAGGGACAGAGCCAGGGAAGGGCTCAGAATGTGGCTTAATGGACAAGGAGGGACCAAGTCTTGCCCCAGGGACAACTGCCAGAGCTGGAGTAAGGTTACATGGGGAACACAGTGCAGGACAGGCCTTTGGCAAGAGCCACGCCACCAAGATGCCTTCAAGCATGCAACACACACACACTTGTCTCCCATCGCCAGCAAGGCTCAGGGGTCACATCCACAGCTGCAATAGAAATCTCTCCACTGCAGGACAACCGTGTGAAAGCCCTAACACATAACTGGCATTGCTGGACATGGCAAACCAGGCTGCAAGCTGCCAAGGAGTCCAGAATGGAAGGTACCAAGCCAGAAATTGGGTTTAGCAGAGAGCAGCAGATGGTGAGTGTGGCCACCAGGCTGGACTTCCTCCCCTCTCTCCTGCAGGTATTTGGGAGATCCAGCACTCATGCCAATTATCAGAAGGGTATGAAGGATTTTCTGTTCAGGCTAGTTAGAGCTTGGAGTGACACCAGCAATCCTTGACTTTGGAGGGTCAAAGAGCAGAGCCCCAAAGCTGGATTACTTATCAGCAGAAGCGGCTGCATCTAAGCATGTGATGGAGACGCACCTTTTTCCTGAGCCAATTTAGCCAGCAAGGCAACATGTGAGCCACAGATATCCCCAGCAACCCTGCCCCAACAGAGGCCAATGCATTGTGCCTCTGCATCAGCATCTCCTTCCTGGCCCCATGCAAACCTGGATGTGTCGTCCTGATGAGGCGGTGCAGTGCTACTACCTTGGGGAGGCTGGTCACAACAGGAAGCCAGGGCAAGCTGGAGACCTGCAAGCTTGAGGCACTCCCAGCCTGGCCATCAGCCCAGGCCCAGAAAGCCCTGAAAGCAGGAGCACCTGCAGATCTCCGAGTGCTTCTTCGTGGTACCTACAAGTCCCTGAAAGCAAGAATGAGTCATTGAACTGCCTGTCCTTCCAACCTCCGGATGCTGGGAGGGAGCCGGTGCATCCCAGTGGGGCAGAGGGCAGCTCAGAGCCACAGGACCACAGAGCCAGCCATGGAGCTTCTGACCAAGCCTTGCTGTTCTCTGGGTTTTGTCCCCTGGGGCCACCACCACCATGGCCTGGTTCTCATTGTGTTAACCTTAGGATTTCGGCTCAGGGCCACACAAGTGCCCAAGCAGCTGTGTTTCCCCTAACATACCCCAGCATTGCTGCCACAGTGACACTGGGGCTGCAGGAGCCCAAGCGGTGCCAGCACAACCCCTGGGATGAGGGCAAAGCCCCACGGTCAAGCCACAGGGATACCTCAGGCGCTGAAGATTGGTTCTGCAGGGCAGAACATGCCTAAGTTGGCTTGGTCTGTGGATGCTGCGGTGGACACAGTCCCCTTTTGTAATTACTTGTATATTCTCTCTATTGTACAAAGATTGTCCACGTGTCCAGACTCATGACAGCAGCACTGGCTCCCGCGAAGGATACAAGTAGCCCTCACACTGGCGGGGCTATGGGAGAGCTCAGTGCTGGTTTAATAAACCTTGTACTCTAGTGCTGGCCTCACACCTTTTTGCGTCAGGCGCCCCATGAGACTAGTTGCAGCCCCAGTGAGGTGGGCTGGATGAGCAGTAACGTGAACGTAGTGTCTGGGCTAGCTCAGGTGGGCTCTGCTGTAATACTGTGGAGTGCTTGGGCCCAGTTCAGCGCCATTTGCTGCATAATGGCCTTCACCTGCCCACACCCCATCTGTCCCTACCCCTAGTCCCAGCAGATAACCCAGCACAGAGATCATGAGCAAGAACTACGAAGGGTCAAAGCAGAGTATCTGTTTGCCCCCTGGTACCTGCAGATCCACCCTAATCCCCGGAAATATCCACACCTGGCAAAAACAAGGTGTCGCCTTCCATTCCCACTGCCTATGCTGGCCCTGCTGCACGCCCAGCTGCATGGACGCAGCGTGGTGGTGGTGCTGGGATGCTGATGGCACCTGCAGAGCAGCTCGGGTACCTTAACCAGAGCTGCCGAGTGCTGGGGTCGCCTCGAGGAACAGCCTTGTGCAGGTTCCCAGGAGTTCCTTCTCCAATGAAGGCTGTGGGTAACAACTGGATCTTGTCTCATCTTGCATCTTCGGTGCCTCTAGCAGATCATCAGCCAGGCTGCCTCGCCCAGGGCCCTGCCAAGGCAACTGCCAGCTCTGCTCAACACTCCTGCAAATGTCCAAGGCATTCCCAGGAAGGGGCACTTCCCAGGATGGGGTGCTTCTTGGTCCTGCTTTGGAGTTGCTGCCAGAGCAACCAAGCTATCAAGAGGCTGCTGAGATGGGCGGGTTGCCTTTCACGCTGCAACAGGGGTTGTTTGTTGCTGCTGCTCTCTCCGCTGCAGCTTTCTGGGAGTGTTTGCAGCCTTGGCTAGGACTAGGAGCCAGTATCAGGCTGAACCAGGTCGCTCCCACAGCTTCCCATACCAGGAATGTGATTTTAACTCCAACTCTAGGAGACATTGCCCCTTTGCCATTCATCAGCCTTCATCTCCTTGATGTGCCAAGTCCAGGATAGAAAGCAGCAGCCTCTCATCACTGCCCTTGATCTATCAAGGCAGAAATGAGAGGGTGCCCAGGGCCATGTTGACCCTGCTCAGCTCCATTGCCTACAGCATCACGCAGAGAAGGGGGAAGCGGCTGCGTTGTCCCTTCCTGCTCTCAGCCAAAGGAGCAAAACAGCTGCTCTGGAAGGGCTGTGGGCTGCAAAGAGACTGCAGAGTTTTGCTTCACCCCAGACTGTCCCATTCCTTGGCCAAAATCCCATGACCTTGGAGAAGGAGGCGAGTGTTTGTCTCGGACCGTCATGTGTTCTAGTCTCAGCCGACAAACAAACCCCTAAAGTCTGCGGTACAGCTGGCTTACGCATCACATTGCACACATCAAAGACACCCTAACACACCAATCCTGGTTGGGTGCTCAGCCCAGCTCGTGGCTGGTGCTCATAGGGAAACCCTTCCTTGCAGAGGTACCTTTCAGATGGGCCCTTCCTCCTCCACCACCCATTCTTACTCCTGCTTTCTGGGCTCCCCCAGCCCTCAAAACCCATAGCAAGCTGCACTGCAGAGAACCCTCACCTTCAGGAGAGTGCAGGACTTCTCAGGGCTCCCAAGTCCTCAGCTGGAAGGAGGAGACAGCATCCCTCACATCCCTGGTGAGCTACCCAGTTGCGTGATGTGGGAGAATCAGATGCAGTGCCAAGAACACTGAGGGGCTGCTCCAGTTCCCTGGAAGAGAGAGAAGTTGTGGGTGGATGTAGAAAAGCAACTGCAAGAGCATCAGGCCAAATCGCAGCCTCCCTGATCTGGCAAGAGCCAAGCAGTGCTGGGCAATAAGAGACATGACAGGCTGGAAAATGGAACTAGTTGAAGCAGAGGGATATAGCCTGGCTGAGGTGTGGGAGAAGAGTGCCAAAGTCCCAGCTCTGCAATATCTCTGACAGAGGTGCAGAGTGCTTGGACTCAGTTGTCCCCACTTGGTTTTGCCCCCACACCCCGGCGGCTCTGGAGCATCCCTGCTCCTCTGCAGCAAGCTCGGAGAGGCTGGCGGTGCCATCAGAAGAGTAGGGAGCATTTTAAGGGCACTCCATCTGCCCTTCCAAGCACCATAATAATGCAAAATAGAGGCCCAGCAGCAGCAAGAACCCTCAGCCTTGAGAAAGGAGGTTTGTGTCGGCCTGAATCCTGCCTCAGGATTTCATGGGCTGCAGAGACAAGAAGAGCAGAGCTGGCTCCATGAGCAACACAGGAAACACAGCAGGCTCCAGCCAAATCTCCATTAGAGGGATAAACAAAACAGGAAAAAATACATATATGCACACACATATGTATATATAAAAGAGGAAGGACAAAAGCTTGCAAGTGCCAAAGACAGCAGTCCTAGGGAAAGGAGCGGTGCAGGCACCGCTGGCTCCTAGCTAAGCTGGCTGGGCACACGCCAACAGGAGAGCCCCAGCCGGCCAGCCGGCTGCCACCAGGGGTTTCTGAGTGCTCGGCTGTGCCCTTCTCCCATTTCCATGTGAAAACTGAAGCTGGGGGTGGAACAGGGAAAGGGCCCTCCCCAAAGCAGCTGCAGGTGCAACTGGAAGGAGTTTTCAGGATCCCTGTCCGGATTCCTGCAGGGGAGCCCAAGAACTATCATCACCGAGTCCTGACTCCTCATCTCTTCCTTGCTGTGAAATGTCCTCTTTCGAAGTAACCTCACAATTCCTGGCCTTTCTGCATTGTAAGCAGAAGGTTAGAAAATGAGAAGTTGAGAAAAGCAAAACCATCCAGGGATGCACCTGGATGCATCTCTGCAGCATCAAATTGAAAGATAATTTTACCTTGTTTCCCATTGCCAGAGACGTAAGCCCAAAGAAACCCTATCAGCGCATATGGCTTCCCCAACTATATCACCCATCTTGGGGTGTATTTTTGGGAGCATGGATAATGCCAGGGAGATACTTTGAGCCACAGAGTAGAAGGGACTTTACGCCAAGAAGCTGTGCCAGCCTGTGCACGTGCCCACTGGGCAGTGCCACTTGGCCCCTGCTGCCGCGAGTCGCAGACGAGGCTGGAGGAGCCGAGCGCCCTGGTCTCGCTCTGCCTGTGCTCACAGGCGCGCTCCTGCATGCCGGCGCCGCTGTGCAAAGCACGTGGTTTCAGGGAACAGGAGCACAACAAATCTCTGTGCCAGCAAGCCCGCTGCAAAGCAGCTCCACATGTGAGAAAGCTGTCTCCTTTTCCTTAAAAAAAAAGGTGTAATTTAACACCGATGCAAAGGCTTCAAGGGGAGCCACTCCTGCTGCCCCACACCCCCCGAATGGGCTGTTTCAGAAAACCTCTGCCCTCGCCTGCTGTGTAATGAGGGCTTGGGCAGACGAGAGCACTTACAATGGCATTTTCAGACCAACCTGAAGGCGCACGGCTTTGCCGGGTTTATTTGCTCTAAGCTGTTCCTTCCTTGTAGCTGCTGCCAAGGCAGTATCTTATCTCCACCCCTCGAGGCTTTGCTTTCCATTCTTCTGCTGCTGCAAAGGGAGATCAGACAACTCTGCTGGATGGACGGACAGACGGACGGTGGAGGGCATTTACCATGCTAATGCTGCCTTCTTTGTCTCAAAATAAATACATGAGCTGCAATCTCATTTCTATTTGTTATTAACCCATTCTTCTTGACCTCCAGGCCTCCTGGTCACAGCCATTTCCTTCCCAACAGACCTGATTTTACTTTCAAGTCCTGAGAGTGCAGCAAGTTCACAGCGATTAGGAGGAAATCCACATTGCCAACACCCCAGGAAACCTTTTCCCGGAGCAACGTAAACATAGCTGCAAAAGCGAAGGTCCAGACAGACCAGAGGTTGCAACCCTGTTTGCACATAAACACGGAGGTAAGAAGTCCAAGAGCTCGCCCCTCGCGTGGGTGCCCCTGCAGCACCTTTCATGCCACCACACTTCCCTGTGGGCTTTGCTTTGAGGGTAGCACAGAGCTGGTTCATCCCCAAACGTCAGCTAATCTTCAAAGCAGGAAAATAGCTATCAGCAAACCCAGTTCCTGCATCGAGAAGGACCCAAATAGCCATAGGAAGCGAGACGCTAGTTAAATTGGCTCTATCTCCAGGAAAACATTACGGATGCAAGGGAGCAGAGTCCACCCAATGCTGCTGTGAGCAGCAGACCCTTTAGATCCACCAGGCTCACCAGAGTTACATTGCTCCCTAGGCTTTCACCAAACACTTTCAAGCAGGTGGTTAGACCCACTGACCTCACCGCTGCACTCGCCGAGTACTGCAGAAAATGTTGCTCTCCCTGGCCCTAAACATACTCTGGAAGCAGTTGAGCTGGACTGATCCAGACTTGTATAGCCCATGTCCTGAAGGAAAGTCTAACCAAACGGCTTCCCCCTCTACTACCGCAAGTGAGGCAAGCCAGAGGTACCAGAACCTCTGTACCCTCCCTAACAGCACAGCAGAAGGCAGGATAAAGTTTGGCTCTGTATCTCCTGAAGGCAAAGCTTGGAGGACAGAGCTTTTCCTTGGCCACAGGCAGTAAAAGGTCAAGGAAGAGAGCAGCTCAGAGCCCACCGATTCCTGGAAGACAACATCACCCTCAAACTGCAACCCACCCTTAAGACCAAAGCTAGCACCAGCATCTGAACTTCCCCCAGAAATGGTCCTGAATAACGTGCTTCATAAATACTGTGACATCCTATCCCCATTTATAGACACACATCTCACACAGTTTCAGCCCCAAGGTTAGGAGATTTCAGCAACAGATGAGAAAATCAACACGAATTATATCTCTGGTTGTTCCACCATGAGCTGCGAACCACTTTTATTGCCTAGCTAGCGAGCTCACAGGCTTGGTTTTATTTTTCATGTTTATGGATTTATACAGCCACAGTCCAGCTCCCTCCCTGGCTTCTTGCTGCAGAGAACACGTACAACAGGCTTCTTGCTGATGAGAAATCCCACAGCTCCTCCTGGAGTCACGCCGAAGGCAATGCACCACAAAAGCAACAGGCGGATGGGTAAGATGCTGCAGGAGCCAGGACAGCCCAGGGCAGCAGAAACTCTTCCCAAGGGGGTTCTATCAACCAGGGCCAATGCAGAAAATGATTGAGTTAAAAATGCATATAAGCATTATTACCAGCTTTCATTTTAAGACAAACAAGTGCAGAGATCTTCTCAGATAAGAGTTAGGTTTCTCCTTCACAGAAGCTTAAAAAGAGCAGTCTTTTACCCTTGCAACGTTTTTTATTTTGCTCATCATCACTCTGGCTTGGCACAGCAAGGCGTCAAAATCCTGTCTGCACCTAGGACTAAGGCTCACTAAAGCCCAGCTCTGCCAGGCTTTCCCCCAAATGCAGGGTTGGGGCTTTCTGACAGCTCTCACCTGCAACGTGACTTTTTCAGGCCAGCCTTTTGAGGACAACTTGCCCGTGCTGCAGAGCTGCCTGATGGGCACACAAACAACTCATTGCCCCAATTCCACAAACTACCACCAGAAAGCCCAGCAGGAACCTTCCAGTACAAGTCCGTCCTCTCCAAGCACCCTGCCAGTTTGACTGTCACTAACCATGAGCGTTGGACCTCGAATGCCTCCAAAGCAGCACGACTGCCTCTACAGGCTTCCTCTGCACATCTGCTCTCCCTGCCCTGCCGGGTTCTGCTTCTCCACAGATGAGGCACCTGTCAAGTGCAGTGGTCCAGCTTGCTCCTGGGTTTCCCTTCCACCAGCTCGTGCTCTTTTGCTGGCCCCTGCTTTCCTGGGAACAGTCATTCCTTTTCCCCTCTGCGAGACCTATGCATGGCCCATTAACCAGCACTGCCTGGTAAGGGCTGGGGGCTTTCCTGGAGCACAGGTCAAATTAAAGGAGACAGCGAGAGCTGAGGGTTAACGATCCCAAGCTCAAGCCTTTCTATATATTTTAAGGTAAACAGAGAAGTGCAAAGCAGAAGCTTGGTGTTTTCTGGTGTCGCTGCCCCACAAAAAAAAAAAAAAAAAACAAAAACAAACAAACAAAAAAACCAGGATGGAGCATGGGACCAGACAAGCATCTGCAAAGATTTTCTCTAAAGGGAGGGACCTGTAGAACATCTACTGATAGGACTAGAGGAAATGGCCGGAAACTGAAACACCAAAAATTCCATAGGAACTTAAGGAAAAATTTCTTAACAGTGAGGGTGACAGAGCACTGGAACAGGCTGCCCAGAGAGGTTGTGGAGTCTCCTTCTCTGGAGATCTTCAAAACCCGCTTGGACGCAGTCCTGTGCCACGTGCTCTAGGTGACCCTGCGTGTGTAGGGGGGTTGGACTAGATGATCTCTAGAGGTCCCTTCCAACCCTAAGCATTCTATGATTCTATGATTCTATGATCTATAGGGACAAGCCTCTAAGAGTAGGACATAAGCTCTTGAACACCAAGTTCCTACTACAACCCTTCAAAGTCTGTTGAAAGCCAGAGCAGAGGGTGAAACAATTCAAGTTGCAAAGCAGCATCACAGTATACACCACAGTACATGTTTCAGTTCTAAAATGACAGTGTGAGAGAGCTCCTGCTGCACAAAAACAGTACAGGTAAAGTCAAGGCATTTATTTTCTTAGAAGATATCTGATCCAGTGGTAACATTTTGCTCTGAGCTCCCTTTCACCCATACAAGAATTCAAATGGCAAACATCTTAGAGCAGTGACAACAGATATCTTTTGCTGGATGGCTTTGAAAAAGTAAACAAGCTGGCTCCTGCTCAGAGGAGCTTTACTTCTATACAAGAATTTTCAAGACTGGCAGAATTTCCTGCCGCCTCCAGCCGCTCATCCGCAGCACAGGGGTCCCTGGCTGGGCAGCAGTCGCAGGGTGACACCGTAGTGCGAGGTGCGACACCTCAGCGAGGCGGCCCGGGCGGCCTGTTTGCGCAAAGCGCAGCTCGCGGCCCGCAGGCCGAGGCCCGTCCAGCAGGAGGTGCGTTTAAAGCCCCTGTGTTGCTTCTCCATCTCCTCAGCTCCTGGTCACGGCTCAGCGAGAGCTCAGCTCCTTCTATGTGGATGGTCGGCTCAGGGCTCCCCCAAGGCCAAGCCAAAAATTAGGGGAACCTCCATTTCCAGTAACAACCCTCAACCACAGAGGGTACAATAAAACCTGCTCTAGCTTAGAGCCACAGTGAGCAACGCTGGCCTCCAGTTGCAGTTGCATACTTTCAAAATTTCAGTTTTTGTTAACAGAAAAAAAAAAGCCCGAAAAACAAACAAAAAAACAACTTAGGATAGAGATCGGAGAAGCACAGGGGAAGGGACCAACTGAGGGATGAGTCCTTTTGCTGCCAGTGGTCAGAAAGGGGTGTTATTGCATAGTTGTTGCTAGAAGGAGACACCGTGTGGTGAACATAAAGTGGCAGTGTTCTCAATCCTGGAGCCAGGATTGAAGCCTGAGCTGGGTGCAAGAGCGGGGAGGGGGGCAGGGGACAGAATATGCGTTAATGTAAACGTCTTGGGGACAGGCACCTCCATCAAGACGTCCTGAATGTCAGACACTGCTGATTAAGGAAGAAGTCAGCTGTGCAGTATCTAATGGGATCAGGGATTGACTGGAAGTGCAGTAAAACCAGGGTAATAACTTAGGACACAGCCTTTGCCATTCCAGTTGCCAGCCAGAGGATAAATCCTTAGGCAGATATCTAAAGAAAACAAAGAAAAACCAAAAAACAAGGCATATTCCTAAGGAGAACAAGAATAGAATCCTTGACTCCTGCCTCCTCCTTCATATTCTCCTAGCGAATAAGTGAAATTAAATACATTCACAAAAGAGTAATCAAAATAAGCTTCTTCCCAATCAGAGTCCAGTTTTAAGCAGATCTGCTCTTTGGGCGATTTGTTTGTCCGTTTTCCTTCTTTCACCAGAATGTCCTCAGCTAGCTGATACTGATAACTAAGGAGCTGAGGTCAGTTATATGGGGTCAGATACAAAGTTGTCTTACAATTTGGTACATGCTTTTCTCTTTTCTTCTCTCTCTTCCAGCCTGGTTATCAAAGGACTAAGAGGCAAACCAGGAACACACTGCCCCTGAGTTACAAGTGCATCTTTCTGTCACCACCTGAACATGCTGCACGCAAAAAACATCCTTCTCCTTCAAAGCTTCTGAAGACACAGAGCTGGGTACTTGTCTTTCCCTCCCCACATTAGGTACAAGAATTCAAATAAAATAAAAAGAGAGATAATTCTGTAGCATTTTGCTTTTACTCCTTCATGGAATTTTTCCAATGCAACTTCACGAAAGCAATGTAAATAAAGTCCTTTTTCTTCTAAAGAGAAGATTAATTTCCACAGATTATGTAGTGCAATTGGTTATCCTGTAGAAAAAAAAATATATATATATCTTCTTCAGCTCCACAGAAGGGAATGTCAAAAACAGTCTCAAGGTCTCTGTAAAAATAGGAAAGAACATCCAGGATCTTTATTATAAAGTTTCTTCTGTGCAGAACACACGATACCTATCAGTCTGCTTTTAATTGAACAGTATAGAATCTGGGTCCTGGTTAGCCAGCTGTGCAATATGCTTTAATACATCCTTTTTGGTAATGATCCCAAGTAACTTCCTAAAAAACAAACATAAAAACATCATCAGTGCATCAGTTCCCAGAATCTGAATTTCTAGAACTGCATTTTAAGTCCTGATAGTCTCAGCAGCTTTTATTTTTTATGTGGTTTTATCACAGCCATACCAAAATACATTAATGCAGGGGCTAATTAAACAAATCTACTGCTGTAAACTGTTGGTTAACAATGTTATTTCTTGCAAGAAGCAGAATAGTTCAACTAGACCAAGTGCATCACTAACATGCCTGGTAACACAAACAACAACTCCTTCCATAGCATAACACTTCAGGGAACAGATTTAAATCACACTATCATTAGTTTTAATTTTGTCCTCATTCCTACCTCAACACAGAACTTTCAAACTGACACCAAAGTGAATTCAAATCATTACACAAGGTGCATGACCAAACGTGAGATGGAAGAGGTCACGAGCCCTTTCCATCTGCATTAGGGATGTCATACCCATCCCTGTATGGATCTGCATTACCATTTCACTAGCCGTGCACTATTCTCATTAATGCCTCAACCAGCAGCAGCTCAGGGCTTCCACAATTGCTTGTTTACAGTTGCTCTGGTTGGCTAGAGACATTCACTTCTCTGAAGGTCAGTGGGTCCTGACTTGGATTTAACTAATTGGTCTTTATCCCAGGGGATGCCAGGTGCACAGCCCGCCAGCAGCATTCTCACCCGTTGTGAGTGACCAGGCACTGGCGCAATCCGAGCTTGCGGAATATATCCACAACGATTTCCATGGGTGTTTGGTCTGTCACTGTGAAGGGACTGAGGTCCAGGATGCTCCTGAGTTTGAGCATGGATGGAGAGCTTGGAGGCAGTGGAGGAGAGTGGTCAGTGAAATAAATAATTGAAGTGCTCACAATCCCATCCTGCTTCTTCCGGGCATTTTCTGGAAAAAGGAAATATTTGATTAAATATCACCTCTCCTTTCCTTTTCTGACTAGAACACATGCTTTTCTCTGACCACACTGGCCCGACCTTAACAAAGGTGCACTGCTTCACTTCACTCATGTGCTTTCATAAAGCATGTCCCTAATGACCCGAGTGCAGCTGTTTCCATCCTATCTTTTAATGTGTATCATTACCCCGAGGACTCCAAGTACTTGCCACTACTCAGATATTTACGCTACTGCATTACACCTCTCTCCCTAGGCAAGCGATTTAGATGCCGGCTGTATCATAGCTTTGATTTGATATTTACATTACTAGACTTACTGGAAAGAAAGTCTAGAAAGAAAAGTCTAAAAGAAAACAAAACACACATGTTGAAAACTCTCACAGCAGGCTACCAAACCCTCAACCTCATTCTGTAACCCACGACAATGCCTTACTGTGCTTATCTTGGGAATGAGGTTCCTCTAAATGGGCCCCTGGAGATCCCCACATCACAAAAGCAAGAAATCATGGTCGTACTGTGAAGCAGCCCAATGGAAGGAAATGCCCACAATTACAATACAGCAGTTTGCTTTCGCTACATTTGCTGCCATATCATCAAAATATTTAGCTCAATATTGATCAAGAGAACTCAAGAGCAGTATCACAGAATCACAGAATGGTTAAGGTATGGAAGGGACTTCTAGAGATCTAGTCCAACCCCCTGCTCAAGCAGGGACACCTAGACAATATCTGCATGCTCCAAAAGACTGTGCTTCCTGTGTCCTAAAACTGTCCCTGAAAACCTACCTTAAAACAGAGGGGGAAGAGCCAGAGCTGATTCACAGCTGCAGACAACTTAATTATTCAGGCTACTCTGGTACTGCCATGGAATTAAGTTAGCTCAGGAGCAGAAGGTCATGTTGATCCTACAGAAAGTTCTCAAACTTGAACTGAGATAGTGCATTCAATCATGTGCTGGAGAACACACCGCAGACTTCATATGCATGTTTAATACATTGAGATTGGGTTGTTCAGCAATCACATTTCTGCTTTTCCCTCCCTGCAAGGTAGCTGCCACCCTCATCTCACCTGCTCCTTTGCACCAGTGTTCATGTGGTCCCAAACAGAGCTGGAGCAGTGAACAGATCTGCAGGGTGCTAACCCTAACGAGGAAGAATGCAGTTAGCTAACCCTAGCGAGGAGGAATGCTGCATCTCTTCTCCTGTCAGCTCACCACGAGGCTTGCCTGAACCCTACTTGGTGGCTGCACAAGGTAGTGCTGACCAAGGTTACCACAGATGCTTGAGCCTGAGCTCCTGCTGGATACAATCAACAAGGACTAAACAGGCAGGGTGTGTGGGGCTCAGTGTCCATAATTATGACCAATCCCTATCTTCATTTCAGCACAGGCACAACTTTTAAAAGACTAAAATGCCCTTCAACCCTAACATGCTCAAACGTTTCCTGACTTATCAGCAAAACAAGTATCACCCTACATAAGTCAGCAAAAACCACGATGACCAGAAGCAGTACTTGAGCTTCTGATGTTCGGAAGCTCAGTTCTCGCTAAGCTCTTGAGCTTAGTTCTTGCTGGCAAGGAGTCTTATTCTTCACATCGGTGCATTAAGGTTTATGAATTCAACAGAGCTGCACTAATTGCATTGAGCAAGTTGCACTGTCCTTTGCTCTCAATGCTTGCAAGCCCCACACTGCTTGGCAACGGGGATGCTGACTTCAGTAAGAATATTCACCATCACTGCGAGGTGTTTGAATTGGTAAGTTACAGCCAATGCCATTTAGGGCCTCTAAATGTACGGTTCAACTACAAAATATCCTATCTTCACTTACCGATTGAAATGATGAGATCTCTCCTGAGGACAAACCCAACGAGCCTTTGGGACTCTCGTGACACCACCACTGGGTAGCCACTGTACGTTGTTTCATTGATTATGGCCTCAACATCTTCTACTGTCATGCTGTCCTGAGTGATGACAGTCAGAGGAGGATCATTCCTCCGTGGTCTCATTACATCCATCGCAAGTGTCTTGTGTGAGAACTCCTCCTTGGCTTCCAAGAAGGGATAGCCGTTGAGACGGATGTGGGCGTCGTAAATGCCCTCCCGCCCAATGGCATCTGCCACCCACTTGCTGGTCATAGCTGCTGCCATCAGAGGAACTATGTACTCCAGTCCACCAGTGAGCTCAAACATGATGACCACCAGCGAAACAGTCATTCGGGTCACCCCACCTACAAAGAGGACACAGGAAGATAGAGCACATTTGTAGGGATCTGTAAGGACTTCCAGCCAGCAGAGTTGTTCTTGAGGTTTGCTAGAGCTGTCCTCTGCCAAACCATCAGGACAAACTCTCAGATTAGAAAATGGTTGTCCCATTGAACTCCTACTTAGGAAACAGGCACTATATTCAGCCCTGGAAACCAAACATGAACAGAACGTGGTTTTAAAACCAACTGTCCTTTCTAGTATATTATGTCATGTGCTGGCTTCAGGGTCCCTCCTGCTGCATTGTTTTTGATGAATCCTTCTCAGAACTCAGCATCCTTCAAAGACTACATGAATTTCAATCAGGTAATGGGACACCCTAGCAGCACATGTCCTTTGAAAACAGATCTTCTGATCCACAAACCATGTGCTATGTCTGTTCAAAACTTTCTACTTAACATTATATAATGGCAATGCCAATCTGCTAGAAACGCTATCTTATTACTTAATATGAGAGAAAATTAACTCCAAAATTAGCTTCAAAAAGAGCTTGGTCATCCTTTAAAAGGGTCTCCATTAACATATTCATGAGCTTCGACTACTCCTTAACTGAAAATTTCCCCTAATACTGTAAAGGAGTACCTTAAAGAGATTAATATGCTATTCTGTGAAGGAGAGGATTGGGAGCTGCAGTGAAAGTCAAGTTCAGTCATTCAATTTCTCAAGTAGAGGGGCAGGATCACCTCCCTCGACCTGCTAGAGATGCTCTTCTTAATGCAGCCCAGGATTCCATTGGCCTTCTTGGCCACGAGGGCACACTGCTGCCTCATGGTCAACTTATCATCCACTATGACAGCCAGGTCTTTCTCTGCAGAGCTGCTCTCCAGAAGGTCGGTCCCCAGCCTGTACTGGTGTCTGGGGTTATTCCTTCCCAGGTGCAGGACCTTGCACTTGGCCTTGTTGAATTGCATGAGGTTTTTCACTGCCCAGTTGTCCAGTCTGTCCAGGTCCCTCTGGATGGCAGCGCAGCCCTCTGGGGTATCAGCTACTCCTCCCAGTTTGGTATCATCAGCAAACTTGCTGAGGGAGCACTCTGTGCCTTCATCCAGGTCATTGATGAATAAATTGAACAGGACTGGACCAAGGACTGACCCCTGGGGGACCCCACTAGCCACAGGCCTCCAACTAGACTCTGCACCGCTGATCACCACTCTCTGGGCCCTGCCATCCAGCCAGTTCCTAATCCATCTCACTGTCCACTCATCTATCCCACACTTCCGAGATGCGTTGTAAGATTAATGGGTAGAACAAGCAGTAAAAAGACTTGAAAACCTACAGGAAAAACCTAAAGTCCCTTGCTGGGTTCTTTTTTCTGATTTGTGGATTCAGGAGATTCCCCACCGAAACCCATCACAACCCAGGACAACTTCATGCTGACAAAAGAAGGCAGAAAGACAAGTAACACATTACGAAGTCTCCTGCTCTTGACAGGAAGTCAGTTATTCCAGACTGTAAGAATAGCAGCATCACAGTCTTTTCTACACTTCTTTACCCTAGCCAACCAAGTCCAAAGCTAGCACCTTGGATTTCAAAATGCACTGTGCTTACCTAGACATGCTGCAGCCCCAACCATTGCATAGAGGCCAGGAGTGATACAGTCAGCCCCTGGGCTGCACCAGCCACTGAAGATGACCCAGTCATGGTGATAAAATGCCAGCTGCTCCATTCCTACTCCTAGCAATCTCCCTGCAATAGCACCAACCGCCATACTGGGGATGAAGAGACCTGAAGGCACCTATAAAAACAGAAAAAAAAAAAAACACCAACACAGTACCCACATCAGTAAACATGGCATTTTGCAGAAAGACAGCATTAAAAGCTCAAAACATGACTGTATTAGAGGCTATACTAAAGCTAAAACTGGTAAGATGGCCTTGCTTCAACATCTCTTCCCTTCCTGCACTAAAAAGGTGGTGGCAGAGTAGCACCTCGTGTCCTCGAGCCAACAAAGGAAAGCACCGGGCTTGCCATTGTCCTTAACGAAACAAGCCATGCTCTAACATCTCTGTTTGAATTCACTTGTTCTGAGCAGCTGAAACAGCCAGGCAGACCAGGTCAGTGCAGAACAGAAAAGAGTTTCTTTTTTTTTTTTTTTAAAAAAAAAAAAAAAAGAAAAGAAAAAAGGTTATCTACTATGAAAGCACACCAAAGCTTCCCCTGCACACCACCAGCACTTTCCCTTTCTTTCCAACAATATTACTTGCTGACTGCATGCGCAGTATTTTCCAGCTGTGCTGGTTTCACCTATTGAATGTGGAATCATCCTTTTTCCCTTTCAAATTTCACCCTGAAATTCAGAAAACTGTCCGTGAAACCTGGCCATACCAACTTAGTAGTTATTTCATCTGATAGTCAAACTCAGAGTAAGAGGCTCCAGTGCACTCAGAGCAACCATGCTTTATTATCCCCTCAGAGCAGACTTTTCCCTCTTTTTAGCAGAGTTTGGGGAAAAAAACATGCATATTATGGAGCAACTTAAAGCTCCTCTACAGGCAATTCTCACCTTCATGCCGAAGGTGAAGATGGTGATGAAGACTTTCATTATAAGGGCCAAAGCCAGCTGCCACATGGCTGTGTAAACTCCTGGGCCAGCAGCTCTGTCTGGGAGGTCATCCCCTTTGGTGCTATTGAAGTCATTCACATACTCGCAGAGCTTGGAAGAGTCCAAAATCCCACAGTCATTGAAGAGCTCAGAAATGAGCTCGCTGGTGCTCATTCTGGTGTATTCGTTGGGGAAGGCCAGGATCGCTGTGATCGCAGTCACCACGAACACCTCCAGCACGGGGTATTTGCCAAGCTTGGTCGTCTTGCGGCGCCTGCACCAGGCGATGTTGCTGCGAATGAAAAAAGCTCCCCAAAGCCCACCAAATATCCCCAAGAGGATGAAGGGGATAAGCTCCAGCAGATGCCACGGCATGTGAAACTCCACGTAGAAGAGAACCAGGCGGCTATTCCCAAAGGGGTTGATGGAGCGCAGAGTAAACGCAGCTACCAGAGCAGCAAAGAAAGAGCGCCACAGTGTCTTAAGAGGAAAGTAATAACTGACCTACAAAGGAAGGAAAAAGCAGATTCAGTCACTTCAGATCTTGTCACTGCATTGATTGCTGTCCCATCGCAAAACCACCACTGTGCAAGCTATAAACAATATAGATCAATGTCTACAGGTTATGCACCCTCCTTTTTAGGCACGGCCCCAGACTTCATTTTGAACTTCGTGCTTCATAACCTGCCCCGAGCCATATACTTTCAATGCAACAAATGCCTTTAATGACCCCTGCAGTGGGGGTGCCTTACCCACACAACACAAGGTTTTGCAGGTTAGCTATGGGCTGCATCCAGAGAACTCTTTGCCTGGCACGTTCTGCAAGGCGCAGGAGTGCCAGAGAGCAGCACTTACTACAAGCTGGGCAAACTATTGATCAGCTGAGCAAAACTGTCCTATTCCTTCTCCTCTCAGTTAATCCTGAAACAAGCAGCAATGACCTATTTTGTATCTGTGGCAAAACAAATAGAATTGTAAGTTTCTTTGGAAGAAAATAGGCTTAATAAGCAATATAGAAACTCATTTTGAAGTATAGTGGGGACAGAGCTGTAATGGAGACAAGACACGTAGACAACATAGTAGAGCCTTTGAATGTGAGCAGTCAATGCTGAAGAGAACAGGCAGAGTGCAGGAAGACAGATTTATTGCCAAACTACAGATTTACATCCTCTGAAATAAGTTCTCCAGGGTTCCTAAGAGTTAACCGAAGCCCCGGTCAGCTTTTAGGTTGCTTAAGTTGCCCTGTAAATCTATCAAGCAGCATTGAACTGTCTCTCCCTTTCATACCCAAGTCGTGATGAGTGGGCTATATTTCAGAGCCAGCCAGACCACTTCTTGCAATAAAACAGCTTGCCAAGAGCTAATAAAAAATGCTCATGTTACCTCTTCCAGGCTAAAAAGCACTCCTCCAATTGGCGCACCAAAAGCTACAGACACACCGGCAGCGGCAGCTGCTGATAAAACCTAAAAGAGAAACCCAAGTCATTCTTGGTTTGCCAGGAGATAACTTGCTCAATGGCATACTATGCATCCCGCAATATTTGTTCTGCAGTGACTTGTCATGGGGAAAAATCCTTCAAACATTGTGAGGAAAAGTGAGCTTCACGCAAGATGGCAGCTTTGGTCTTGCACTGTATCCGTCATGACTGAAGTATGCCCTCATAAGCAAGGGCCTCAGACTGTTCATATAGCCGAGGTCGAGCCCCGCAGACACTCTTAAGAGCTAAGGGAAATGTTAGTGCATGCACTAACAAGCCCTGCAGAACTGGGCAAGTTGTCACAAATGAACGCTTCCATTACAAACCAGGTACCTACCTACCCCAGGGGCACCAAGCCCCCAGTTTCCCACCCCACAACCTCAACAGTGGGATGGCATCACAGTCTTATTTTACCTCTCTGCGCTTGGCTTCGTTTTTCCTGTACTTGGTGAAGAGGTGACACAGGATGTTCCCACAGCAGCAGGCAACATGCACCAGGGGGCCCTCTTTTCCCAAGCTCAGGCCAGAGGACACAGCCAACACCAGAGTGATGGTTTTGATGATCAGCGTCCACTTGCCCAGGTAGCCTCTAATGATGAAACCACTTAAGATAGTTTTGATCTGGAAGTCAAGCACATAAAGCTCTACAGGCTTTCATTCAAGTCCTGGTCACTGGGCTCTCACGTTGTTATGTATTCCCAACCCCTACCCTTCAACATTCTCCTACAGCTTTCCTTCACGAACTTTTCTGCTATGTACTTTTCTTGTACCTCCTAATTGCTAATATATACTTTTTTTTTTTTTAAGAGCATACATTAAACCAGTGCACATCTCTAGAGTACAAGAGAGTGTTATTCCATACCCACACACGAGTAACCACAAGGAGACAACTTCTGCATGTCTATCCGTCCCAATATCAACTAATCACAAGTAATCTTTGGATGATGGATCTCTACCCCAAATTAAAGAAACACTTTTGCTCAATCTCACTCACCTCTGGAATTCCTGAGCCGCAGGCATAAGGAGCAAACCCCTTCACGAGTAACACAGCAAGAAGGGAGAACAACAAGGCCCAGATAACATACATGAAGTAGTTGAGAATATATGCAAATGCCCCCTAAAAAGCAGAGAAAGTGCCCCAGTTCAGACAGGTATTCTCAGCGAAGATCACATCAACCCTGTGCAATGAAGGAAGTGCCATCAACACAGAAATAGCAAGGAATTTCCACAACAGCTGAAACCACCAGCAGCTGTGCTGGCTTCAAGGCCAAGGTAGTTTGTTGTGTCAGGGGGTATAAACTAATCAGGGGGTATAAACTAATCAGATCTCCATATAAAACAGTAAACAAAGTATATCAACATTGTCCTGGTTGAGCAAGCTTTCCACCAGGCAGCACCGCCAGAAACACAGGACTTAAGTTAGTTTTGTACTGCTCTAAGGCTGTTCAGGGGCAAAATGTTCTCCAAGCAGTAAGTCTCAAACCCAGGAGCAAACCAATGCTTTTTAAATGCATCAAGCTTTTGCCTCCCCACAGAGAACCACATGGAAGGAACTTGTTTGAGCTTATTTACACCCTTGGAAGACCTCAGCAACAGATGTCAAATCACTGAGAAATTTAAGAGTTTCACCTATGGCATATATACACAGATCACTACTAAGAGGCAATGCAGGGCAGGGGAAACAAGCAGGTTCACAGCAGCAAAACTAGGCACACCTCACCTCCCCATGGCCAAGAATAAGCTGTGACCAGCTCTTCCACTCTGGACACTTGTCTCTGTCTGTAAACGTTGTGTTAGATTTCCAACAGCAGTGCTCATGGTTAAACCAGAAGCCTGCCAGACAAACTCCTTCTTTCAGATCTGTCATCCAGTGGGCAGAGATGTCTATCAGACCAGCCAAGGAACCTGAGAGAGACGGAAGAATGAAAAAGAAGATTAAAAATAAATAACCATATATCTAAACGCCACAGTTAGCTCTAAACATTTTTGATTCACCTACCAACAAATAGGGCAGTTGGGCTATTTTTGCCTACAATTTGCTTTTATCCTTTAGAGAACTTGAGAGAAGGCTTATGCCAGTATATATGGAAAAAAAAAGTTAATACACCTAATAATATTTCAAATACTGACCCTCACAAATTGCATTAAAACCCATCCTAAGTCCCTAGAAAAGTCCTTCCCCATCACACTGCAAGGTCATTTATTAAATACAACGTGGCAAATAATCTGAGAAGCAGGAAGGGATTTGCACGTCAGGGGGACATGGTCAGTCTACATTACTGTCTCCTGTCTCCAGCACAAAAGCATTAATCCACCCGATGAACTGACACCACAGAGTCAGTGATGGGAATAACACTGAAGTTTGGGAAACATTTCCAATCCCCCCCCAAAAAAAAACAAACAGAAAACAAACAAAACAAAACAAACAAAAAAAAAAACACCACACCCAACTTCAAGTGAAGTCACAATCCTCCACAGAAAACACTGTGCTCAACTGCACTCTACTAAAATGCAAAGTCAACACAACAGAGTTCAGGCTTGGTGCCTCCTCAGCTGCAGAAGCAAGAGGTAATGCAGAACTCCAGAGGTAACATTTAACATCTAGCGAATCTCTTGGTTAATGGAAAACTGCCTTGAAGCTTTTCCTCCGTAAATATTAACAGAGGACTTAATTTCATCCCTCCTGATGAATGTTTAGCTGCTTTCCTCTTTCCTTCAAGACTTATCTGCAGCTCACTGATTGACTTATGCAGTGCTAGGTCTAAAGTTTGCTTCTGAAGTTACTTAGGTCTTGGTTGGCCTCTATAAGAAGCTTCCAAGAGACAGGGGAAATTTCAAGGCTTCCCGAGACCTTTCACCTAAGTTTAGTTTAAAAAAAAAAAAAAATTCTAAGCAGGGCTTGGCATCAGCCTTTCCAGGGCCAAGGAAAAGTTTGCTGTAAGGATCCTTGACTGCAGGACACCTCCCTCTGGCCAGCATTTGTTCAGCTGCGACTTGCCTAGATTTGATTTTCTGATTTCAGAGCTCTGTAACCAACAGCAGATATAAAATTCTATACAGGACAAAAAAAAAAAAAAAACACAAATGGCAAAGCAGTATCAGAGCCTCAAAGAATCAGTAGAGGTCCTCACCCAGACTAATTTTCTGGGACAAAACTCTCCTGTTCTGATGACAAAGGTCTGTGCTAGGAATCAATCCTGATATTGCAACACAGAGTTAGATCTTAGTTTTAAATTTTTACTCTTACCTGCTAACAACCCTATGAGGAGCATCAACAGCCAGCCAGAAAAAGCATCACTCACACTGTGTATCAGGGCCCATGTTGACTCTTTACTTCTGCTGGTAATCTAGAAAAACAAAATAAAACCAATCAAACAAAACCCCAGCACCACAACCATTGCTTTGATAGCTGCTGTTGCAAGTGGAGCACCGAATGGGACATGTACAAGGGGATATCAAGGACATTTCCATTCTTCCTAATCAGAAATCTAGTAATTACTGCTAACAACTCTTGATGGCACAAGCTGACGTGAATGTTGAAGAAACCCTCGGAGCACTTTGTCCTCAGCAAGTTAGCAGGGCCATATATGTGGGTGTTGATACCGCAGCAACTGTGAGAGCATCTCTTGCTCTCCAGCTCCTCCCTCGAGAGCTGTGTTGCACCCCAGGCATTGCTTCGACCAGAAGAGATTCTGCCCATCACCTTATCCCTTACAGTGCCTTCCTCAGCTAGATCTGAACGGTCTAGCAGAGGCAATACCACTATGACTGCAAAATGACCTAGGAGGGCTTTGGGCTGACAGCACTCCAAGCCGGGACTCCAACCTGCTGGGGACGTGTCCTGACAGAGATGTTCTTCAGAGCCCCTGGCTCCTGTTTGCCCCTTCCATATGAAGGTTTCAAGCCTGTCAGCCTCATTGCTCTTGACAAGCACATAAAAGGATGAAAGAATGGCTATTGTGGGCCTCGGTTACCAGGCCTGCTTGGAAACCTTCCAGTACATGCTCATTATTCCCAGATAAAAGACACATTGACCAAAAAAAAAAAAAAAAGACAAAAACAACAACAACAAAACGAACAAAAAACTCACAAACGAGCAAATACTCACTAAGCTAGGAATAAATAAGGCAAGGATCCTTTCTGCCTGAATGAATTATTTTAATCACCACCTTCCTCTAGATTTCATCAACAGGTACACGGTTCATGTAACTGCTATTAAATGAGAGCATTTGTGGGGGGTGAAGGAGAACAGCTAGAATCATCGTCTTTATTTCTTTTTATTAACTCATACCTAGCACGTCTTTGGGGTGGTGAGGGGGCAAGACAGGGTGGCCAAGGGCAAGAAATCTTTGGGAATTGTTCCCATCATCCACAGAGTAGAACAATTTACTAGGAAGGAGGTACTGGCCACAGGAACCTTTGGTTAGGTCTGCCCTTGCTCATTTGTGGCGTTATACCATAGGTCATATACTGGAAAGGGAAAAATAATACATGGATACTAAAGCCAAGTTGTTTTGCTAGACTCCAAAAAAATACACAAATAAATAAATTGGAGAATATTTTGGCAGGCAAATAGCCCAGCTTACTCAGTCAACACCTTACTAGAGTTCTGCCAGCACGTGTTTCTCATGAAGGAGCATGTTAGGGACACACATACTTTATATAAAGCATCTCTAATTCTCTCTCTGCAGTTTTAATTGCACTGGATGGGAAAGCCCTGGGAATGAAGCCTGAAAGAACAGCCCTTCAGATCTCAAACATACAGCACAGCTTCCAGGAGGATGAGCATGACTCACAAGCAGAACCGCATGATGGAAAAATTACTCGGGCTTCTTTATGAATAAGCACTGTGTGGAACAAATGCTTATATTCTTTATAGTCCACATAATAAGGATGCATCTGAGCTCAGACTGAACCAAAGGTTCTGCTATGCTTCAGAATCCATTAAGTTTAACATGGCATAAGGAAAGGAGTGATTAAAGCAGCCAGGAGGTACCTCAGAAATACACTGGAGCCTTTTTTAATCAATCCCTGAGCAAGGAAGAGTGGATCAGTTATGACACATCACATTTTGTGTTCTTCTGTGGTATTCTGAAGAGCAGAGCAAACTGCATGAAACCGCTGAAGTCACGAAGTATGGCATGCTGGGCAAGCCAGCTGGGAGCCCAGATGCAGAGAGAACCCTGAGCCTGGGTGTTTCAGTGAACCCCCGTCTCCTCCAGCCTGCGTCCTTGCGACGGGACCAAACTGGTTCACTCCCATCCAGGAAAGCCACCCACTCGGCAGACCCTGGACACGAGCCCAGCTCCGAGAGGAGCAGGTTGAGGATTCAGGACTGAGAGCTGCAGGAAGTCTCAGACGACGACTGGTGCCTCAGCATGCACCAGCCTTGGGCTTGCTCGCTCGTCAGAGGAATCCACAGTGTGGAGAGCAGAACCTGGTACACATCTCGGAGATGGAGGGTAGGGCTAGCAGCTACTGCTGAACAACCTTCCCCTCGGGAAATCTCCAAACTGGAGGCCACCTAAAGAATGCTGCTCTGCAGAGACATAAAAAGGAGGTTCCAAGTGACTATCCTTCAGGATGCCTCCTGGGCTGTGTGGACATGACTATTTGTCACAAGAGCAATTGAATGAGCAGTATCTGGAGCTGAGACAGGAATTGGGGGCTCCATTTGCCTTTATCTGCACTAACCCCCAGGAGATGATTGTGAAGTTCCCCATCAAAGGCAAATCCCAGATCTGGAAACTGGGTTCCAAGATCCACCACGGAGCAAAGAAGGGGGTAACAAAGCAGAAAGCCACGGTGGGACACAACTCTCCCACCCGTCAGCCCAGGCCCTGTTGCTGCTGCGCTCACTGGGATGCCAGAGGTACAGGGACATCACTAGCCTATATACGGGAGAAACTAGAAAGGCCACAGTTCAGACTGAACTCAATCTGGCCACCACTGTAAAAGACAACAAAAAATGTTCTACAAATACATTAACAAGAAGAGGAGGGCCAAGGAGAATCTCCATCCTTTATTGGATGCAGTGGGGAACATTGTGACCAAGGATGAGGCTGAAGTACTTAATGCCTTCTTTACCTCAGTCCTTAACACTCACATCAGTTATCCTCAAGGTACTTGACCCCCAGGTTGCAAGACATCTATGGAGAGCAGAAGAAACTCCACATAAGTCAGGGGGAAGCAGTCAGTAACCTTCTACTCCCCTTGGACACTCACAAGTCTATGGAGCCAGATGGAATCCACCTGACGGTTATGAAGGAGCTGGCAGACGTGCTTGTCAAACCTCTCTCCATCATCTGTCAGCAGTGCTAGTCCACAGGGGAGCTACCAGATGACTGGAGGTTGGCCAATGTGATGCCTATCTACAAGAAGGGTCAGATGGAGGACCCAGGAAACTATCGGCCTGTCAGCCTGACATTGGCATTGAGGAAAGTTATGGAGCAGAACATCTTGAGAGCGATCACACAGTATGTGTTTGACAACCAGGGGATCAGGCCCAGCCAAAATGGGTTCATGAAAAGCAGGCCCTACCTCACCAATCTGATCTCCTTTTACGACCAGATGACCAGTGAGAGAAAGGCTGTGGACATGCTCCACTTAGACTGCAGGAAGGCCGTTGGCACAGTCTCCCACTGCCTTCTCCTGGAAGCTGGCAGCTCATGGCTTAGACAGGTGGATTCTTTGCTGGGTGAAGAACTGGCTGGATGGCCGGGCCCAGAGAGTGGTGGTGAATGGAGTTAAATCCAGCTGGTGACCAGTCACGAGCAGTGTTCCTCAGGGGCCAGTGTTGTGACCCATCCTCTTTAATGTCTTTATCGATGATCTGGATGAGGGGATTGAGCGCACCCTCAGTAAATTTGCAGACGACACCAAGCTGGGAGGAAGAGCTGATCTGCTCGAAGGTAGGAAGGCTCTGCAGAGGGATCTGGACAGGCTGGATCAA